CCCCTTGAAATTCTGAGGAGGAGCCTCTCTCTCGAGTTCCTTTCAGTTCCAGGGGAAATTTTATCCCAAAGTTTGACCTTGTGGGAGAGGGGATACCACCTGTGAAGGGTTTAGTTTCAGCCGAGCAGAGCAAAAACCAAGGGAGCAGGAGCTGGGAAACAGAGAGACGGAGAACGAGAGGAACTCAAATAAATGTGGGGGACGGGAAAGTCTCGAGGAAATTATATGCTCTGCCAAGATGAGAGAGAGGCTGAGGAGATGGGAGGCGAAGGGATGCAGAACAAAGACAGCACTTAAAAGGAGAGGAGGGTGGAGGGTCAGCTCTTTGGATTCGGCAAAAACACTTTAAAAATGGGATTCTGCTTGTGGACGCCTCTGGAAGAGAGACGGATAAACTAATATTTGCAGACACTTCCTGGGCCATGCCCCCAACTGCAGCAGAAGCTGAGCTTTTACCAAGAATCACAATCTCCTTGCATTAGGGCGGATGTTGTGTGTGTGTGTTTTTAAGGGATACTGTCAATAAAACAGAATATCAATTCTAATTCCTGTTCAGTAATAGCCACAAGGCTCATCCACAGTTTTACTTGATTGTATTATGTACCGATTCATTCCCCCAGGATCTGAGAGCATTTTTCATTGGCCCACAGCTGGGTCTTCCAAGAATCTGTTTGTAACCTGCTGCATCGAAGCTAAGCAAAACCTCTCACTGGATTTCCTGAACATCTGGTGAGATCTGATTTGGCAGGCAAGATAGAATTTTCTCAAGGCACAGCCACGGAACAACGAGAAAACATCTTGGACCGGGGGGATTGTACGATCGAAATACGGATCAAGCAAACATGTGAATGGACCCTTATTCAGGTGTTCTGCAGACTCCATGGAAAACCATCAGGCAGAATTCAGTTACGGTTTCTTAACTGCACTTCCTGCCTTGAAAAGGGTTGGACCTCATGAACTTTTGGGCAATGGAGTCATAGACTCATAGAACCATAGAGTTCTAGTCCCATGAAGCTGTTAGAATTCCTGTTCCATGATTTCAGTCATGGGATTTTTGTCTTTCACATGACGGTATGTGTTTTGACTCCACAGAGTGGGAAGTGACGGAGACAGGATCTTTGTGTTCCTGTTTTCCATGAAGTGGGACCATTGTCCTTTGTTCTTTTTCTTTTTGCTGTCTGATGCTAGAGAGAGAGGGAGCCATGTTGCAGTGTTCCGTGTGTGTTTATATGTAAATAAAGTAGATTAGCCAAAATGCTGAGTTGCTAAGGTCTGTTTTGCAAACATGCGCAAATTCTACGGATCCCTAAGTGTGCCGGTGTCTGTTGGCATCGGTCACTGTGACGTTCAGGCAGAAGAAAGCTTTTGCAGCTCCCAAACAAAAGAGCAGGAGGGAGGGAACATGCCAGTCGGGCATGAGTCTCTGCCAGGGTCCTACTCGAGTGTAGGCTGAGCTCCTGACAGAAGCAACCTCTTTTAAAACAATAATATGAAGCCTAAGGTATTGCTATTCACTTGGTAGGCATTTCTCATTTTGGATATTTCCCATGTTGATCTTCTGGGTAAATTCCTGCCTTTTACATAACATAAGGATTTCTCCCAGGGCACCTCAGTTACCGGGAGAATAGTATGTGGGTTATTTTGTGTTTTTATTTTGCATTTTTATGGTGGGATCTGCCCTGAGATCTTCGGATGAAGGGCGGTGTACAAATTTAACAAATAAATAAATGCAGGAATCCCAGCTTCCAATTCTGCCATTCTATGACAGCAGTCACAAAATTAAAAGACGCCTGCTTCTTGGGAGAAAAGTGACGATAAACCTAGACAGCATCTTAAAAAGCAGAGACATCACCTTGCCAACAAAGGTCCGTATAGTTAAAGCTATGGTTTTCCCAGTGGTGATGTATGGAAGTGAGAGCTGGATCATAAAGAAGGCTGATCGCTGAAGAATTGATGTTTTTGAATTCTGGTACTGGAGGAGACTCTTGAGAGTCCCATGGACTGCAAGAAGATCAAACCCATCCATTCTGAAGGAAATCAGCCCTGAGTGCTCAGTGAAAGCACAGATCGTGAAGCTGAGGCTCCAATATTTTGGCCACCTCATGAGAAGAGAAGACTCCCTGGAAAAGACCCTGATGTTGGGAAAGATGGAGGGCACAAGGAGAAGGGGAGGACAGAGGACGAGATGGTTGGACAGTGTCATAGAAGCTACCAGCATGAGTTTGACCAAACTGCGGGAGGCAGTGGAAGAGAGGAGTGCCTGGCATGCTCTGGTCCATGGGGTCACGAAGAACAGGACACGACTAAACGATTAAACAACAACAATGTCTCTCCTGCATTGGTCTCTACAGCCACAGCAGGCACTGTAACTCTCCAACACCCCCAAAGGTGCATTCCTCCATTGTCTCCCGAGACTGATGGATGCCACCCAGCCAACCAACCAACCAGCTGCATTCTACAAAGTGACACCATCCCAGCTGGGCACCGCCTCAAACTGAAACCATCCTGAGCAGCCGGGGGGCACAGGCATAGCATGGTGAGGGGGCTAGCAGGGCAATTGCCGCAGACACACAACATTTTTAGGCGCACACCTTTGCAGCTGCTGCCCTGACCCTCCAGTCACTCCCCATCCTGCCCACCCACTTCACTTGAGCAGAAGCTGGAAGAGGACAAGCCCTTGCATCCCTCTGTTGCATGGAATCCCCCACTGGCTGTGGAGGTGGGGAGATGGCGAGACGCATGGCAGTGATGGTGGCAGTGCCCCAGTGCAAGGAGGTGTGCATGCATGTTCCACAGCTCCATCCGGTGGCAGTGCTGCATGGAGGCACTGGTTACGGGGCACAATTCTTGCCTTAGGGCGTGCAATACTTTCCTTGCCCTGGTCACTGGCAACCCACGCTACACCACTAGCTGGGAAGGGGGCTTGTTCTGCAGCCAGAGGCCACCCAGCCAAGACTACCCTACTGAGGACTCACTCAGCGTCTCCTCCTTGTTAGGCTCACGTCATGCTCTTAACTTTTTCCAGGAAACCGAAGGAATCCAAGACGCCGGCAATTATAAAATGGAGGCAAGGCAGACCTTTCCGAAAGGGAAGACATCAGGGGGAATTAATGAGCGTGAAGGCAATCCAGTAATTAATTGATAAACGCCGGCTGCACAGCCTTCTGAAGAAAGGGAAGCCAACATGACTTATCTCACCAAAGGCAGAGGAGAATTTCTCTCGTCTTTCACCTTGTAGATAAGGACACAAAACTGGGATCCTTCAACTTTGAAGCTTAAGAGCGATCTGTAAGCTGAAGACAAAAGGAAAAGAGAGGGGGGATGGAAACCATGTGCAGACGCGCAAACCCCGCCACCGCCACATCCCTCCACTCACGTGAAGGGAGTGAATAATGCATGAGCCTGCTGAGAATGCTGCGCCGACCATGTTGTTGTTGATTAAGTTGTAAGCTTCAAAGAGCTTCTGCTGGATTATAAAGTTATAACTGCTGCAAATATATATACACATATAGGCGCCGCAGGCAGGAAAGCTGGATGATGGGCATTTCAGCAGGTGAGTGAGATAAATCCATCCAGAAAGATGTGGGGGAAGGAAAAGAGGTTTGATGTTGCCTGTGTGGCGGCGTGACTTTGGCACAGGAGGTGTGCTCATTTGGTATGTCTGGTGGCATCTAGGAACATCTCAAGGGGCTAAATGAGGCAGAATCAGGTGGCTGGCTCACTTTTCCCCGGTCCTGGCTATTCCAACCTCTCCAGCTTTTCTGCAGGGAAGGCTTTCCCCCCATCAACTGGTGCTACCTGCGCTCATCTGAACAAGATGTCAACCTGGGATTGAACCCTGCAAATGACAGGACACCTTAGAACTGTAGAATTGTAGAGTTGAAAGAGACTCTTAAGAGGAATCTCGTCCAACCCCCAGCAATGCAGGAATCACAGCTAAAGCATCCCTGACAGGTGGCCATGCAACCTCTGTTCAAAAAATTGAAGCAGAGTCCAATGGAAAGTCTCCAATGAAGGAGAGGCTACCACTTTCGAAGGGAGTCTGTTCCAACAACAATCTTCTCCTTCCCCTCCTTCTCCTTCTTCTTCCTCTTTCCTCCTCCTCTTTCTCTTTCTCTTTCTCCTCCTCCCTCCTCCTCCTCCTCCCTCTCCTTTTCCTCCTCCTCCTCCTTCTCCTTCCTCCTTCTCCTCCTCCTCCTCCTTCCTCCTCTCCTCCTCCTCCTCCCTCCTCCCTCCTCCTTCTCCTTCCTCCTCCTCCTCTTTCTCTTTCTCTTTCTCCTCCTCCCTCCTCCTCCTCCTCCTCCTCCTCCTTCTCCTTCCTCCTTCTCCTCCTCCTCCTCCCTCCTCCTTCCTCCTCCTCCTCCTCCTCCCTCCTCCCTCCTCCTTCTCCTTCCTCCTCCTCCTCTCCTTCTTCTCCTCCTCCTCCTCCTCTCCTCCTCCTCCTCCTCCTCTTCTTCTTTACCTGCCCTTCACCCTAAGGTCCAGGGTGGGATCCAACAATTAAAACACAAGATTAAAAACAGCTTAAAACAACACAGAAAAAAGGTGGGTCCACCACAAAGTCACAGCTCATTTACTTTTATTTCTTTATTACCTGAATTTATATCAGCGATCCACAAGTTCCCTGGGCAGCTCTCAAGAGCAATAAAAGGACTATCCAAACTAGTATACTTCAGATTTATGGCATGGTTATCATTTTAAGAAGGAGGCGGCGAAGTGCTGGATAGGGAAATCTCCAAGCAGGAATGGCATGAATTTGACCACCAAAGACCTGCAAAAAAACCTCTGTGTGAATGTTAAGAGGAAACGATTACAAATTGCTTTGTCGCTGGTATCCAGCACTTACAGATGGAGCAAAATGTGCCCTGGGTGTCAAGGCAAATGTCGGTGGTGTGGATCCTCAGATGCAGGTATGAGTCACATTTGGTAGTCATAGAACCAAAGAGTTGTAGAGCTGGAAGTCACCACAAAAGTCATCTAGCCCAACCCCCAGGTATCTTTAGCCCAAAGTGGGTTTCGAACCCTTGACCCTGACTGAGAATAAGAGCCTGATACTCTACTGGCTGAGCTATCCTGCTGACTACTTGATCAAGACCTATTGGGAAGAAGTGACCAGATAGATCACACTCATGACCTTGGGAGCTATTCTACCATCCGTTAACCATTTTTCTGGGTTATCTAGATCAGGGATGGGGACCCAAAGGCACAGTGAGGCCCTTGTAACCTCGGATCCGGCCTTTGACGCCCAGGCCACCCACCAGCCCTGCTTTGCACCTTCCTTGAGTGTTGTTGCCTAGCAATAACATTGCCTTGAAGGCTGATAATGCCTCTCATTTGCTTGCCTAGATGGAGGATAGATTAGGGTGTATTTGTGGAAACTAGACTGCTGCACATGGGTAAAATTCACATTTGTTGCTCCGCCCACTTCTGTTTTTGGCCCCGCCCACCTCCGACTGGCACATGGCCCTCCGGAGACTGCCTGGAAGGGATTCTGGCCCCCTGGGCTGTAAGCAGTTTCCCACCCCTGGTCTAGATGATCAAATAAAACCCAAAGAATTCGTGAGGAATCTTGTTGGACTCTGCCCATCTGTGAAGATGCTCAGAAATGAAAGAACGAGGTATCACCTATGGAAAAAAAGAACGGCTAGTTTGGAGATGAAAAAAAATGCAGGCCTCTTCAGAGCTTGTCAGATTGCATGATCTGCTCTATATTTTGGAAAGGTGTGACTTTGCTGCTCATTAGAATCATTTGTTGTTTAGTCGTTTAGTCATGTCTGACTCTTCATGACCCCCTGGACCAGAGCACGACAGACACTCCTGTCTTCCACTGCCTCCCGCAGTTTGGTCAAACTCATGTTGGTAGCTTCGAGAACTGCAGTGATCTGAGGTATTTGCAGTGATCTGAAGTATTTGAAGATGGCTATAATATCTGCACTTGTCTCCTCTTTTCCAGGCTAAACATCCCCAACTTTCTTGACCATTCCTCATAAGGCTTGGTTTCTCTGCCGACATTCATTTCAAGGAAAACAAACCCTGGGTAAAGCACAGGTATCATGGATTCTTGCACGTCAGAGATTGGGGTGATGTGTAATACTATTTTCTTTTTAGTAAGTCCTACAGATTTTGATGGAGTTAACTTTTAAGGAAGCATGTTTATTATTGCAGGGATATTTTAATTTCTGGTTTCTGATGCAGTAATGATTGGTATGTGAAAAGTGGACCACAGAGCTCTAGCAATGCAGGGAGGGGAATGATACGTTTGTCTAGGAAAGGGGGGACGACACATTTGCTGCCTAAGGCCAACCCACCATGACACACACCACACAATGTTAGACTGCCAAGTGGTTACGTCAGACGAACCCCAAGCCCGTTTGTAAGCTTTGCAGGAAAGTGCAACGCAGTTTTGCACCAAAGCAACCCAAATTCTGTGCGAAGAAAAGCTGAATTGCCAATCTTCTCTAAATTATGCAGCATAAGCAAATTTGCATTATTGCTCTCACTTTGCATAATTTATTCTTTTTTCGCTACTCATCGGGAAGGACAAAAAGCAATGCGGAATGCTGAAGTCTCCACTATTAAGTACAGGAAATCTTCTTCAACTGCCCTTTTGCCTGCTGACATTTTGGGAGGCTTTGAAGCACATCAGTTTAGCCATTAATGCTTTTCCCTTTTTTGCGGGGGGGGGGGGGATCTTAAGAGGCCAACTGAGCCAGGTCAAGCATCCATCTCAACCATCACCCAGTTTTACTCAGCGGGTAGCCAGAGGTTTTTAGGTGCCCAGAAGTGAGTCCTGACCACAAGAGTGGTTCCCTATTGCCTCCACCACCACCTCAGCGACATACACATGACTAGTTAGGAGCAGGTGGCGCTGTGGTCTAAACCACTGAGCCTCTTGGGCTTGCTGATCAGAAGGTCGGCAGCTCGAATCCCCGCAACGGGGTAAGCTCCCGTTGCTCCGTCCCAGCTCCTGCCCACCTAGCAGTTCGAAAGCACGCCAGTGCAAGTAGATAAATAGGTACCGCTGCGACGGGAAGGTAAACAGCGTTTCCATGCACTCTGGCTTCCATCATGGTGTCCCGTTGCGCCAGAAGTGGTTTGGTCCTGCTGGCCACATGACCCGGAAAGCTGTCTCTGGACAAATGCCGGCTCCCTCTGCCTGAAAAGCGAGATGAGCACCGCAACCCCAGAGTCCTTTACCTTTTTTGCCTTACACACAACTAGTGTTCAGAGTCACCCTGTCTTAACACATTCAGGACTTTTTAGTTTAGAAAAAAAGGCAGGTTAGTGTGCGTGCATGCAGGTGTGTCATGAAAGAGACGTATCACATACCATCCATTATTTCTCTGATGAAAATTTGTTGTTGTTTAGTCGTTTAGTCGTGTCCGACTCTTCGTGACCTCCTGGACCAGAGCACACCAGGCACTCCTGTCTTCCACTGCCTCCCACAGTTTGGTCAGACTCATGCTGGTAGCTTCGAGAACACTGTCCCACCATCTCATCTTCTGTCGTCCCCTTTCTCCTTGTGCCCTCCATCTTTCCCAACATCAGGGTCTTTTCCAGGGAGTCTTCTCTTCTCATGAGGTGGCCAAAGTCCTGGATCCTCAGCTTCAGGATCTGTCCTTCCAGTGAGCACTCAGGGCTGATGAAAATAGGGAAATCCTATTCCGCATGCAGGAATATGCAGCTGTCTCATAAGGGGATCGAACCTGCAACCTTGGCGTTATCAGCACCACGCTCTCTCCAACAGTGTATGATCTAGGTGAGATTCCCGCATTGCAGGCGGTTGGACTAGGTGAACCTCAGGGTCTCTTCCAGCATAATAATAATAATAATAATAATAATAATATTTATATCCCACCCTCCCCAGCCAAAACCAGGCTCAGAGCGCCTAACAACAGTAAAAGAATACAGCATTCTAAAATCAATTCATTATAAAATCAGTTCAAATCAGATTACAGTGGTACCTCAGGTTAAGTACTTAATTCGTTCCAGAGGTCCGTACTTAACCTGAAACTGTTCTTAACCTGAGGTACCACTTTAGTTAATAGGGCCTCCCGCCGGAGCACGATTTCTGTTCTCATCCTGAAGCAAAGTTCTTAACCTGAAGCACTATTTCTGGGTTAGCGGAGTCTGTAACCTGAAGCGTATGTAACCCGAGGTACCACTGTAATGGCAATCACTGGGCTAGAGTTCTGTGAGGATTACCAAAGGAGGGGGTCAGGCTGTGCCTTGGCCAAAGGCCTGGTGGAACAGCTCTGTCTTTCAGGCTCTGCGGAAATACTGCATTTTTCGCTCTATAAGACGCACCAGACCACAAGACGGACCTAGTTTTTGGAGGAGGAAAACAAGAAAAAAATTATTCTGAATCTCAGAAGCCAGAACAGCAAGAGGGATCGCTGCGCAGTGAAAGCAGCAATCCCTCTTGCTGTTCTGGCTTCTGGGATAGCTGCGCAGCCTGCATTCGCTCCATAAGATGAACACACATTTCCCCTTACTTTTTAGGAGGGAAAAACTGAGTCTTTTAGAGCAAAAAATACAGTATGTCAAGTCCCGCAGGGCCCTAGTCTCTGATTCTATAACCCCGGTGAGAACAGGATCCTGAACTCAAGGCGCCATTATCCTGATCCAGCCGGCCTCTTCTCATTATCTTCTCTTCTTGCTAGAAATCTACAACTACCCATCTCCTGCTTCGCCGCCTGAAATTTCCCTTGCTGCTGGGCCCTGTTCCTGCCAGGATGCGTGGCCAAGTCTCTGTTTGACAGATTGCAGCCTCCTCCTTGGTGACCAAACCTGCCCTCTGGAGGGGTTTGCGTGCAGTTCAAAAGGAGGGCCATTAGGGGTGGGTTTATTCAGGCATAGTGGGGCCACCACAAAGCTTACAGCTGTCTTCAATTCTCAAATTAGGGATTATATTCTGCCAAAACCCTGCATTAGCTCTGCAGCGGGGTGTGTGGAGGGGGCAGAGCTGTATTTCATTGTGAGAGACCAGCCATAGGTGGGAAAGACAGGAGAGACTTATGGAAAGGGGAGAAAAAGGCCCGGGAGCGAATTGCATTTCTCATTAGAAAGTGTTATTCATAGTTTTCCGCGGGGGCCGGCTCTGGTCTTTAAGGAGCAATCGCTTGACTTATGCATTGTGTCTGCCGGTTCAGCATTCAGCCTTGATGTAATGGCAGCCTGGGGAGAGGAACAGCTAACCTTTATTTTCAAATGGTTAATGGAAAAGAGGAAGGAAAAGGTGGCGGGGGAGATAGGCACCATTTTACAAGAGCTTCCAAAGAAACTCCCCGATTGGTGGAAATGGAAGAGCTCAGTTTGGATGGGGACTCATCTGCCAGCCCTCTCTGAAAGATGGGCTTTGCTCGGGAGAAATTTCATTTGTGGAAGGACTACAAAAATACCCAGGAAGCATACCCTCCAACATTTCTCTGATGAAAATAGGGGTGTCCTGTGTGATAAGAATTTTAAGGTCTTAGATATATAATAAATGTTCATAAATGTACCAAGCAAACACGTGCATGAATATATAAACCGCATGTCTGAAGCAGCACAGGAAAAGAGCCCTGAAACCATTTTGACTCCCAAACTGACCAAATGATTTCTTTGCAAAGTCAAAGGAAATGGAAAAGCCTCCCCATTGTCTTTTCCTTCACAAATCCTGTCTTAAGGGTATGTCTGTGTATGAATAGGGTGAGCCTGGGACCAGGCTCAGGAACTAAGTATTTATCGTTACAAAAGACTGGTCAGGCTCCCCAGGGTATCCAATCAAGTGACCATTAACAGGTAACCTGCCAGACAGGAAATAAACAACGCACTCAGATTTCTGTTGTAGACCACCTCTTCTGTGATGTAGGTATGATGTTTCTGGGGGATGGTCTTGAGCTACATCCCTTCTGTGATGTATGTATGATGTTTCTGGGGGTGGTCTTGGACTCCAGGGCGGGCAATTTAAAATGTCTATATAAGGGCGGGCACACCTTGGTTCGGGGTTCCTTCTCCTTTCCTGCGTGTGAGGGGAGCACCCTGTTGCAACAGTTCAATAAAGATCAGGCTTACGAGCTGCTTTGCTTCCCAGAATTCTCTGGTTGGCCTCTGATATTTTCTCCTACCAATAGGGAACCTACGTAAGGACTCTATATGGGCTCTTCGATACCCCATAAGGGAAAAAGGGCAGATTTTTGTTTATAACACCTGTTCCATCACCAGCGTTGTCGTCATCATCATCATCATATTTATGCCCTGTCCATCAGACTGGGTTGCTCCGGCCACTCTGGGTAGCTTCCAACATATATTAAAACATAACAAAACATTGAACAATAAAGAACTTCCAAAGGTTGTACAGTTACTTATTTCCTTGACTTGGGGATCCCATAACTCTATCCTCCAACATTTCTCTGATGAAAATAGGGACGTCCCAAGGAAAAGTGGGACATTGTGGGATCAAATCAGAAACCGGGGCGGTTTCTTTTCTTTTATTTTCTTTATTAATTTGTTAACAACAAAGTGCAAACAAAACAAAAAAGGAAAGAAACAAAGAATCGCAGAAGGACAAAAACACAAAGTTGCAGCACAGCTGCAGAGCGATAATAAAGCCTTAACTCATGCAAAGATTCCCTTTCCAAATAATGACAGTGCCAAAAATAAAAATATTCTCCTCCTGTGAGTTCCATTATTCCCGAGAATTTCCCCCAAACATGCAAAGGCAATTATTTCACCTGGGCTTTGCAGACCGTATTGTTTCCTGCAAAGGATTCTATTCATTGATTGTTGTTTTAACAGTTTAAAAGGTAAAGGGTAAAGGGATCCCTGACCATTAGGTCCAGTTGTGACCGACTCTGGGGTTGCGGCGCTCATCTCGCTTTATTGGCCGAGAGAGCCGGCGTACAGCTTCCGGGTCACGTGGCCAGCATGACTAAGCCGCTTTTGGCGAACCATAGCAGCGCACGGAAACGCCGTTTACCTTCCCGCCAGAGCGGTACCTATTTATCTACTTGCACTTTGACGTGCTTTCGAACTGCTAGGTTTGCAGGAGCAGGAACCAAGCAATGGGAGCTCACCCCGTCGCGGGGATTCGAACTGCCAACCTTCTGATCGGCAAGTCCTAGGCTCTGTGGTTTAACCCACAGCGTCACCTGCGTCCCGTTTTAACAGTTTACTCTCCATATATTGCATTATACTGTTCCATTGCGATGAATCACATCCTGGGACCTTTCCCTATATGATTCTCAGCCAGTGGCGTAGCGGGGAGAGAGGCAAGGGGGCTGTGACCCCAGGCTCCCTCATCAAGGCAGGAGCCACGGGGAGGTCAGCCACGCCTAGGTGGGGCCTTCGGGGCTGGGGCGGAGTGTGCTCCTCCTTCTCCTCATGGCTGGCAAAGGGTTGCCCATGGGTCCCCTGCCCCTGGGCTTCCTGAGAGGGTTAGAGGGGGAGGGTGCCACCACCTCCAGCCAAGGAGGGAGGAAGAGGAAGGCAGGAACCACTACCAGAGCCACGTGTGTTGCCCTGAGCACCTTGCTGCAATGACAGGAAGGCAAGGTGACATAGCGGCGCTCCTAGCTCCGCGTTTCTCTGCCGTATCTCTGCTCCCAGGTTGGGGCTCATTTGCAAGGAGAGACTCCCATGGTTAGATGCTGGTTGGTGAAGGGACGGACCGCTGCCCAGTCCACCAGGGAAGCACAACACTTGCCCCGCCCCGGGCACCAGCAACCCACGCTACGCCCCTTTTCTCAGCTTTTGGTTTGATATTTTCTGTGGGCGGTGGAGTACAGGGTCAGGTTTAAGGTGCTGGTTTTGACCTTTAAAGCCCTATGTGGCCTAGGACCCTCGTACCTACGGGACTGCCTCTCCTGGTATGCCCCGCGGAGGACCTTAAGGTCCATAAATAACAACACTTTGGAGGTCCCGGGTCTCAAGGAGGTTAGATTGTTTCCACTTTTCAGCACTAGCCCCGACATGGTGGAACGCTCTGTCACAAGAGACCAGGGGCCTGCGGGATTTGACATCTTTCCACAGGGCCTGCAAGATGGAGCTGTTCTGCCTGACCTTCGGCTTAGACTCACTCTGACCTCTTATATGGGATTTGGTATATAAATTTTCCTTTGTTTTTTTTGCTGGTCCATGTAGGACCAGCATGGATAGCTGGCTCGGGTGAATATCTGATGTTTCCTCCCTTTATGGTCTTGATTTATGGGCTACTACTAAAATGAGGCTGCATTTTAAGATGTATTTTAAGCCGTATTTTAATTGACTGTTTGTTGTTGTTGTTTTCTATTATGTTTTATTGTAATTTATATTTGGTGTTAGCCGCCCTAAGCCCAGCCGAGGCTGGGGAGGATGGGGTATAAATAAAATATTATTATTATTATTATTATTATTATTATTATTATTATTATTATCTTTCTATTTGGGGATCTGGGGGTTGGGGCTGCTCTGCAATCCAGAGCCCAACTGCTTCCTCTAGAGAAATCCCATAGGCATCAATGGGGAAGCTCTACAACACATGATTGGAGGCCTTGCCACTCCGCAGCAACCCTGAGATGATGAATGCTTTCCTTTGTGTCTCCCCTCTTCCTCCCTGCTTAAAAGTCACTGGATTACTTTGATTTTACTGATGTATTATTAAGTGTCCAATGGCTGCAGGCGTAGAACAATCTATAAATAATAACCCAGCACTATTTTTATTATGATGATTATTGAGTGGCAGTTGCAGGAAGATAAATAGGCTTATCTCGAAGTCGCTGTGTCTTATTGCTGGATGATAGACCAT